TTTTGGGTTATTCCAAGCCCTCCCTAAGCTAAGCCATCCTAGAGTTTTGGGGGTTGGAATTATCCAGTGCCAACCCCCTGCCCTGGGTAGGGATGTCTCCCACCAGAGCAGGTTGCTCAAGGCTCATCCAGTCTGGAATGAACAGTGCCAGGGTTGGAGCATCATCCACTAACCTCCCTGGGCAACCAGTGTCTCACCAGCCTCACAGGGAAGAATTCCTTCCTGATATCTAAATTTCCAATCTTCTTTCCATTTATACCCTGTCGTGGTTTAATCCTGGCTTACTGGGCATGATGTGCCATGGGATGGAATATCCCTTTGGCTAGTTCAGGTCACCTGTCCTAGCTCTGCTCCCTCCCAGTTTTCTTGTGTACCTTTTCACTGGCAGAGCATAAGACACAAGAAAGAAAAATGTCCTTGATTTAGGATAAACACAACTTAGCAGAAACCAAAACATCAGTGTACTATCAACAGTATTATCACTCTGAATCCAAACACTGCACTACACTAGCTACTGAGAAAATTAACTCCATCCCAGCTAAAATCAGCACATACCTGTTGAATCATAGCTAGTTAAGGGGTTGGAATGGAACTTAGAGATGATTCAGCCCCAACCCCCTGCCCTGGCCAGGACATCTCCCACCAGAGCAGGTTGTTTCACCCTTCAGGCAGGGTGACAGATGTCATGGCCAGGGGATCAGTCCCAAGCTGTGCTTTGTTTCAGAAAATCAACATGAAGAATGCCTTTGGCTTGCACCTGATTGACTACATGGCAGAGATCCTGAAATCGGAGAGCTCTGACATCACCAACTTCAAGGTGAGAGGAATCTCTTCAGGGTCCTGATGCTGCTTTGTTTCCAGCTGGTGTGCTGGTTTGAAAAGCAAACCGGTGAGAGACTCTGAGTCAGAAGTACAATTTAATATGAACAACACAACAAAACAACACAAATGCAACAGTACAAAAAAAAATAACCTGACAGAGTCAGAAAATAACCTGACAGAGTCAGAAAGTAACCTGACCCCCTGTCAGTCAGGGTGTTGGTAGTAGTCCCATTAAATGGTGGCTGCAGTTCTCCTGCAGTGATGGGTTTGTTGGAGCAGTGATCCCACAGATCTGGTTCTCTCCTGAAGGTCCAGCAGCAGCTCTTGTCCTCTGGGAATCCAGCAGGCAAAGGGCTCCCTGTGCTGGTCCAAATCCCAGTTTATATCCCTGTGAGCATGTTTGGCTCCCCACCCCTGGGGTGCGTCACCTTACCATATGGGACAAGGGATAAGGATCACTGGGAGGATGTGTCATGCATGGGGACAGCCCCCTAATCAGACACAGCCCCCTAATCAGAGACAGCCCCTGAGAGAGCCATCAGGATTGCCCTGAGGGAGGGACAAGGTGATAACCATCACTGCCCCACCTGCTTTAACAGCTTGTGGAGATGATAATAGAATACATACCATGGATACCCCCACACTGCAACCCAGGACAGCTGGTATTAACCCAAGGCTACATCAACATCGAACTTTTAAGGAAACTGAGCTGCTTACTGCCACCAACAATACCTGCTAGAGGCAGCACAGTCACTTGGTGCAGGAGTTTAAGGCACTGAATCCATTTGCACCATGGAAAAGAAAAGATTAACTCTCTCAGTTATGGTTCTTCAAAAGGAAATCTTGTTTGAAAGACTTATGAGGCTTCTGAGGTAATATTGAGTGTTACAACCAGTAACGGATCAAGGCTGGGAAAGAAAGGAAGGTGGTGTGGATAACTGCTGGCCTGATTTTGGTCCAGGATGGATCAGGCTAAGAAATTCCCAAGGAAGAGACTTACTGTAATAGTTGATTGATGCTGGGAGGGAGAACTGGATTCTTGGATGAATGGCAGAGCTGTTGAACCTGGCCTTGAGGAAACCCTGAGCCAGCTGGTTGTGGCTGATAGAACTGAGGAAAGGACAGGAAAGGGTACACAGGTTTTCAGTGGGGAGTTCTTTGCCTTCCTGGGGTTTCTGTGATCCAAAAAGGCACTTGGAATCTCCTGTGCTTCACCTCTTGACTTCATGACATGGGAAAAGAGGATGCCACAAGGGGATGACCCTGAAGAAGGCATAGAGGAGAGAGGTGGAAGAGAGATGACTCCTGGCACATGCAAATCTGCACCTCTTTCCTTCTCCCCTTTGCTTAATCTTAGCAAGTATTTTAAAGTATGGTCCCTAAAATCCTGATAAAACAAACCATAGGGAAAACATATTTCAGCCCCTTCTGTGGGTCTGTTAGGTTCCAGGATAAACCCTTTGCCAGCTGTCCACAATTCCCCGTGGGATCCAGAGCATTCAGGAAGTCAGGTGTGCAGCCTGGCATCTTCTGGAGGAGACTTTTCCCTTTCCAAGTGTGACTCCTTGCCCTGTTCTCTGCCCAGGTGGCAGCAGGAACGCTGGACGCCAGCACCAAGATCTACGCCGGGCGCGTGGACGCAGTCCATGCCGAAACCTACAGAGTCCTTGGAAGCTTAGGCAAGGAGGCAGCACCTGCCAAGGATGTGGACAGCCCAGATGAAGGTGTGCCATTCCCTAATTTCCTGTTAAACACCTGGGCATAACACCTCAGAGTGAATTTTGAAGCACTCTCTAATGAACTGGATTTTTCCCAGGGCTGGGAGAGGATTAATGAGTTCCCTGAGTGCTTGAGCAAGGAGGGTTGAGATGAGGACCTGAATCTGTTTGCTCAGTCCTGGGATTTGGTCTGTCAGGTTTGGATGCAAAACACAGTTGGCCTAGTGGGGGAAAGCTTCAGGAAGTGCTTTGTGTTTTGCTTTGAAACAAGAATGGCAATTGGTGAGCAAATAGAGTCGTTGAAAAGCAAAGCAGCTCCCAGTCAGTGGAGCAGTGCTGGTTCTTGCTCGTGGAGACATCCCCAAGGAACTTTCTACCCACTGAGTTATGTGTTTCTTGTATACTTGAAGTCAAAGCTGTTCTATATCCCTCCTTTATTTTAGGAAGTGTATACTTGAAGTCAAAGCTGTTCTATCCCTCCTTTATTTTAGGAAAGTTTTTTATGAAGTGTCATTTGTTCTTCTTCTCCTTGCAGAAGACAGTGCAGTTCCTGTGACTACCAAGAAAGTTCAGATAAAGAAAAAACAGTCCAAAACCATCGAGCAGAACGTGAACAACCTCAACGTGTCGGAGGCCAATCGCAGACGTCAGGTGGGGGCAGGAGGCTCCTGGAGCTGCTCTTTGGGGAGGGAGGGAGATGGCACCTCCTCTTCCTTCTCTCTGTTGTTTTCCTGGTTGCTCATTCCTCTCTTGGGCTCTGACAGTCACATGCAGGTCTGGATGCTCCTGGTAGAGCAGAGCTGTGTCTAGTCGTGTCTGCTCCTGTGTGAGGCAGCTGTGAGGGCTCTCCTTGCTGGAAAAGGTTGTGGCATGGTTTGGGTGGGAAGGGATCTTAAAGCCCATCCAGAACCACCTCCTGTCACGGGCAGGGACACCTTCCACCAGCTCACGTTGCTCCAAGCCCTGTCCAACCTGGTCTGGAACACCTCCAGGGATGGGGAGGAGATCATTGTCCCTTCAGATTGATGCTTCAGAGTCTCCCACAGAGACCTTCTTCCCTCTCTCCATCTACTCCAGCCCTTGATTCTCTGCTTCCCTCCCTCCCTGTAGGTTGATCCCATGTTCCAGAGAGCAGCTGCATCTTTTGATGGCTGCAGCGGTGCTGGCATTTTCCTCACTTTGCTGCGTGTCCAGGACTTCCACAGTGAGCTCAAATTTGACTCTGAGATTGTGCCTCTCCCTTCCTCAAAGACTCTCACGCTGCCAAGCTCGGAGCCTGTGAAAGTGGCAGATTTAAAGTGTGAGTGCCAGGGCCCACCCAGATCTTTCCCTCTCCCACATTAGCTCATTTTAGTCTCAGCTGGCTTGACCTGGGATCTTGTTCACTGCTTGGTTGCCCTGTGCCAGTGCCCTGATCCTGGTCAAGTTGAGACCAGTTGCAGGAAAAGCAGGACCTGTGGAGGTTATCACTACCTGTCCCCTGATCTCTGGCACATCTGTCACACAGCTGGGGGGTGGTCTGAGCTGTGCAGCACTCGGGATCAGTGTGCTCCAGGTTAAGGATTGACCTTAGAGAGTTTTGAGCCTGGACTTGGTACCAAACCAGCTGCTCTGACAAGATTCCCTCCCTTGAGTTGGGGTGGGAACTGAACTCTCCCTTTCCACTGGTCAGTGAGCCCTGCATGCAGGAAGGGCTGCCCACATCCATAGATTTTGGAACAACTGCACACCTGGCACTAGTTTGAGCTGCTGGTTGCTTCCTCCTGTATCTCATCTCTGCCCCTTCCTCTCCTTGTCTCTAGCCCTACTAGCTCAGTGCACTGAAAAACGTCCCATCTGCTCCTCACTGGCTGGTTTCCAGTTCACAAAGTGGGATGCTGAGTCCTGTGATGAGGTAGGTTGCTGAGTTCTGAGCCAGGTGAGATACCTGAGCTCTGTTCTGTGCTCAGCTCTGAGATGCACAGGGGAGTGGGATGTGGTGCTGCAGGGCTGCTGGTATCCTGAATTTTTCTCAGAGAATCTCAGGGTGGTTTGGGTTGGAAGGACCTTAAAGCTCATCTAGTTCCAACCTGCCATGGGCAGGGACACCTCCCACTGGACCACATTGCTCCAAGCCCCATCCAACCTGGCCTGGAACACTCCCAGGAATGGAGCAGCCACAGTTTCTCTGGGCAACCTGTGCCAGTGCCTTAGCACCCTCAGAGGGAAGAATTCCTTCCCAATATCCCATCTCACCCTGCCCTCCTTCATCTTAAGGCCATTGCAACTTCCTACATTGCTGACACCTTCCTCTCCTGCAGTCAGTGTCTGCACTGCTGGAGAAATTCAAGAGGAGTGAACAAGTATTTGATATCAACGCAGAGATAGACAGCGATGAGGAAGACTGTGCTCCTGCCCTGCCAGATGATGACTTCCATTTAGATTCCCCTGGGAATACAGACAGGATTGGGGAATTCATAGAAAGCATCGAGACCTTTGAAACAGTCAACCAAAACAAGAGGTAAGTGGTCACTGAAATCCATAGCTTTGCTTTGATGGCAAGTCCTGGCTGCCCTGGGGAACCTTTCCTGTGTCCATATGGTTCCTGCTCCAGTTCTGGGCACATCCAGGAATGCATTACAGTAATATCTCTGCCTTCCAAGAGAACCTTTGGCAAATCCACCTCTATTTTGCATCAGCCTCACAAAATTAGGACACTGCAACACCCTCAGTGCTGTGCCCTGTGACCAGAGCTCATCTGGATATTAAATGCACTCAGGAATCACAGAATTGAGGTTGGAAAAAACCTCCAAAGTCATTGAGTCCAACCTGTGCCCCATCGCCACCTTGTCAACCAGACCAGAGCACTGAGTGCCACATCCAGTTGTGTCTTGGACAACTCCAGGGATGGTGACTCCACCACCTCCCTGGGCAGTTCCTTCCAGAGCCTGAGAGCCCTTTCCATGGAAAAACTCCTCCTGATGTCCAACCTGAACCTCCCCTGGCACAACTTGAGGCTGTTTCCTCTTGTCCTGTGCCTTGTTCCCTGGATGCAGAGCCTGATCCCACCTGGCTGCACCTCCTGCCAGGGAGCTGGAGAGAGTGAGAGGGTCCTCCCTGAACCTCCTTTTCTCCAGGCTGAGCCCCCACAGCTCCTTCAGCCTCTCCTGGTGCTCCAGCTCCATTCCCTTCTCTGGACACCTCCAGCTCCTCCCTGTTTTCCATGGAGTGAGGTGCCCAGGACTGGACACAACACCTGAGGTGCCTGAGCAGTGCCCAGCACAGAGGGACAACCAGTGCCCTGCAGTGCCAGAGCAGTGTTGTCCCTGGCACGTGTGCTGTTTGCAGGACTGAGGCAGATCCTTTCGGCGACGGCGACATCAGGACCATGAGCCTCCATCTCTCCATGAATCCAGGGGAATATTCCTACTTCAGCCCCCGCATCCTGTCCATGTGGGCTGGCCCCAAGCACTGGCACTTCAGACCTCAACCCAAATGTATGTATAGCTGCTGTCAGGTCCTGCTCCCCTCTAGAGAGCAGGGAATTACGGAATGTTTTGCTTGGAATCACCTAGTCCTACCCCCTGCCATGGGCAGGGACACTTTCCACTAGCCCAGGTTGCTCCAAGCCCCATCCAGCCTAGCCTGGAACACTCCCAGGGATGAAGCAACCACAGCTTCTCTGGGAATTCCATCCCAGCCTCTCACCACCCTCACAGGGAAGAATTTCTACCCAATCTCTAATCTCAGCCTTCCCCTCCTTCAGCTGCAGGCCATTAAGGTTACATGACACTTCCTGCTTCCATAAAAAGATCCAAATCCCTGTCAAACCTGATGCTGAGAACAACACCTGCTGCTTTCCCAGAACAAAGGGACCTTGTGGAGCAGATGCCTGAGTTGGGACTGAGCTGGTTGTCCTTGCTCTGTCCCAAAGCAGTGACAGTTTCCTCCCTTTCTGCAGCTGACGCCGACTCAGAAAAACAGACCAAAAAAAGGACCATAAAGAAAGCATTTAAGATTAACTTTGAGGAACATATTGACTTTGAGGCCTATTTCTGCATGACCAAGGTACCTGCTGAGTTCCTGCCTCTTTCTGCTCTCCCTTTTGCCATGCCAGCCTGGATTTTTCCTGGCTAAACCAGTGTGGAATTCCTCTTTGGAGACATCCCAGAACTTGCCCTTCCAGACAAAAACCTCTGTTGGAAACACTTGTTTGTGCCTGAATCTTCCAAGCAGTGGCTAGCTCATGGCTCATGGCATTTGTTCCCTCTCCCAGGTGCCTCTAACTCTAGCCAAATCCACTCTGGAAAAACGTAACCTCAGGAGCATCACATTGCCCCCAGCCTTCGACTACGACCCTAAGAACCTTTGCCAGCTCTTCCTCAAACCAGCTGTTAAGGTGAGAATTACTCCTGTTGGGAATAATTCCAGGCACAAAATCTTCACCAAATTGCTGAAGTGTTTTGGGATGCTCCTTGGGGCTGGGGACAGGTCAGCATGTGTGGCCACTGCAGATGGTAAAGCATCTGTGCTGAGCTGTTGTGGTTTACACACTGCCTAGGGGTGTGTGAGGAGGAGGAGGAGGAGGAGGGAGGGGATGAAGGAACAGGGCACAGACATCACTCAGAGAAGCATTGAGAGCTCTTCCCTGATCCCTGGCCTGTCCCTGCAGCTCAGCAGGAGGCTGATGCCAGTGAGTCTGTTGGATAACGAAGCTGGGATTGATGACTATGACTACAACAACCCCAGAGACACCTCTGATTTCTGCCCTGCAGTACTTCAGGCAAGGAACAAGCAAATTTCTTTCTGTGGCTTCTGTCTGATCAATGCTGGAAGGATTTAGGAAGACTTCATGTCTGGGATTAATTGCTGGGGAAAAGGAGTTGGAGCTGCAGGTTGTGTCAGTGCTGGAGTCTCTGCATAGCCTGTCCCCTCACTACCACCAGCCCTCTGCCCTTGGTGCTTACCAGTTAGCTGCTGCAGGAACTCCATTCCAGCCTTTTCCATGCACCTGTGTCCTAAATCCAGAGTAAATGCCATCACTAAGCTCTGCTGTGAGCTCTGCTCCGTGAGCTTTGCTCCCAGCTCTTCTGAGCTCCCTTCAGAGTAGATTTCCTCTAAAGCTTCAGCTTTTTACCAGGCCAGTGCTGCTTCCCAGGTGTGGTTGTGCCAAGCCCTGGCTGCTCCCAGTCTGGCAGGAGAGGCCTCAGCTCCTTGTTTTTTCATGTAGCACAGAATCCCAGACTGGTTTGGGTTAGAAGAGACCTTAGAAAGCTCATCCAGTCCCACCTCCTGCCATGGGCAGGGACATCTTCCACAAAGCCAGGTTGCTCCAAGCTCCATTCCAACCTGGCCTGGAACACTTCCAGGATACAGAACTGATATTCTGCTCTCTAGATCTCCCATGGGTTCCCCCTCAGGCCAGCAGGGAGAGGCTGGATAAGACCTTGTTCCGTGGGGAAGGTGGGAAGGTCTCTCCTCCCTCCTGAGCCACAGGTGTTCCTGTTATCTCTGGCTCCTCCAGGTGTTTCTGGGTGACCTCACTGCTCTATCTCCTCTTGTGCAGGATGAAGATGTTTATGATGATGATGATGATGATCCTGCTGATTTCCTGGGCCAGACAGAGATGTTCAACCCCACAGCTCACCCTGAGGGTCTGGATGGGGTCGGTGGCATCGGAGGGGTCAATGTCCCCATGGATGGAGAGCTCAGCCTCATTGCTGAGCCCCAGAAGGTGAAGACTTGGCAGATCACTGAGCTCTGAGCTGCTCACTGGGCAGGGCTAGAGCAAAAACAGCCTCTGAGCAGCTCCAGGGTTAGAAGTGCCAAGATGACTTTCCCTGGGTCAGGATCTCCTGGGTTTGCTACTGGGCTCTTTATCCCCAGCTGAGTCCTGGTGTAAGAGGAGGGAATCAAACCTCAAAGGTTGAGTGGTAGGATAGTGTCCAAAGTTATTCCCAAGGAGAACTATGTCCTGATGACCTTGACTAACCCTGGACTTGCTCTCCTCAGGTCAGAACGAGAATGATTCAGTATGCAAGGACAGCCAAGAGAATGGACATGAAGGTCTTGAAGACAACCATGTGGGAGATCTTGACTGGTCAGCAGGAGAAGAGAACAGTGGGAGAGGTGAGTGCAGGAGGAGCCAGAGACCTCAGTAAGACAATGTCCTGCAGGTTTAGCAGCAATTCCTTGTAGTAGTCTTGCTCCTATGGTAAGGATAGACTAAGTATAACTTGGAATGTTTTTTTCCCTGGATATTGGGGAGCAAAGTTTGTCTCAGCAGTGTCTGTTTTCTTGCTAAATAGGTGGAAGGTGCTGAGAAAGAGGAGGATGTGGCAGTGATAACAGGAGAGAAGGTCTTCAGTGATGACATAAAGGAGCTGCTTCACAGGTAGAGACCCCAAACCAGGTTGGACAGAGGGTGGGACAGACTTTGGCTGAGCCTGGGCAAGCACTGAGCCCTCTGTGTCTATCCCAACCTGCTGGTAACTGAACCCTGCTGGGGAAAAAATTCCTTCTCTTGCCCTCTGGATTTGCCTTGGGGAGGGGGGAAAGGTGGAGAAAAGCAGATCCCTGGGAAGGAGCTGCTCCCTCAGGTTTCAGTGGGCTCTAGCCATCCTAATCCTGCCCTCCTCCCTCTTTCCCAGATTGCCTTCTAGCATGGCTACCAACCTGTCAGTATCCTTGGCTTTTTTCTGCCTCTTGCACTTGGCAAATGAGAAGGTAAGTGCAGTGTGCACACCTGGAGCAGAGCCCCTCTCTTCCTAGACCAGGACTTTTCCACTTTTCAAGTCACTGGTGCACCAGGAACACCAACCCATGGTTAAGCACTCACAGCATTCCCAGCCAATTCCTGTCAGACATTCCCTGTCTTTGGGTCTGGCAGCACTTTGTTCCTCAGAGTTGTTCCAAGTGCTGTGATTTGTTCCAGACTTCAACTCATAGAATAAAATCACAGAATCATTTAGGCTGGAAAAAACTTCCAAGATCAGCAAGTCCAACCCTTGACCCATCACCACCTTGTCAACCAGACTGAGTGCCATGTCCAGTCATTCCTTGAACTTCTCCAGTCTTTGGGTCTGGCAGCACTTTGTTCCTCAGAGTTGTTCCAAGTGCTGTGATTTGTTCCAGACTTCAACTCATAGAATAAAATCACAGAATCATTTAGGCTGGAAAAAACTTCCAAGATCAGCAAGTCCAACCCTTGACCCATCACCACCTTGTCAACCAGACTGAGTGCCATGTCCAGTCATTCCTTGAACTTCTCCAGGATGGTGACTCCAACACCTCCCTGGGCAGTTCCAATGCCTGACAACCCTTCCCATGGAAAAATTCCTCCCGATGTCCACCCTGAACCTCCCCTGGCACAGCCTGAGCCCATTTCCTCCTGCCCTGGCCCTTGTTCCCTGGGAGCAGAGGCCCAAAGCAGCAGCTGGTGTGAAGCTGTGGCCTCGCTGACAGTGGCTGAAGAGGTTGGGGCTGTTCTTAACCTTCATCCTGTGGGTTTTTTTATGCCTTCAGACTCAGAAGAGAAGAGTCTGGCTCTGTAAAACTCAGCTTTGCTTTTGTATCCTCAGAATCTGGAGCTGGAGGGCACAGAGGACCTATCTGATATCTTGGTGAGGCAAAACAACTGAGCCACTTGAGGAGCTGACCCCAGGCCAGAGCTGTGTCCCAGCTCCAAGTGCTCTCTCTGGACTCTCCCAGCAGTGGCAGATGGTTCTCCTTCCAGCACCATTGCTGAGACATCCCACTGGTCTCTGCACCTTAGGAAGACTTTTAAATCAAGGGTGTCCTACCTGACCACAGGACCTGCACAGATGGACAGTTGCAGCTCAGCCTGCCTGGTTCCTGCCACTCTTGATCCATAAGCTCTTTCCTTGGGCTAGGTAGCAGAATTCCCTCACCTCACTGTGAACCACCAGTGTCTACAGCAAAAGGTTCCTCTGTGTGTCCCAAAAGGTTCCTCTGTGTGTCCCAAAAGGCACTTTCTGTGTGTGTCTCACCAGGTTTCTGTGTGTCCCTCTCTGACTGTCTGTAATTCCCAGTTTGTGCCCTGTTACTCCTGCCTCCAGTTCCTCTCACTGTTCTGTTTAACTGTTTTACTGAGTTTGAAGATAATAAATTGCTAAGGATTTTGCAGATTGGCTTTTGAAGGAGTCTCCTGGCATCTCTGGGCCAGGGACCCCCTCCCTGAGAGCTCCTGAGGGGCAGGTGGGACACAGGATGTGCTGGGGATGGGAATGTCTACGTGAAACAGTCACAAACAGCTGTTGGTCCAGAAAGACTCTTATTTCCTTGAGCTGCAGTTCAGCTGAGGGGAGATCCACACAGGGAGTGCCAACAATCCTCCTGCATCCACACCCAGGGGGGAGATGTTCCCTAGGGGCTTCTAGGGTCAGTTGGGGTGGCAGAACTTGCTTCACTCCAACTTCTCCAGCACAGTGAGGGATGGCTTGAACACACCCACACCTGCCACCCCTGGGACCCATACCATGTCCTGCTCAGTATTCCCTGGGGCTCAGCATCCCCCTGGGGCTCAGCATCCCCCTGGGGC